TTTTCTTTCTATACCCTTTCTCTTTTTATTAATATTTGTTTTTTTTTAAAGACAAAACCTAGTAGCTCCGTCAACATGTACTATCTTGCTTGGCGCGGCTACTAGGTCACTGTCCAGTGGTCCCCCTGGGCAGTGGGTAAATAGTAGGCCCTCTGTTTGGCTGAAACCTTACAATTTTTATCGCAATACATCCCTTAAATAGAAATCATAGTAATCATTTCTAATTAACTTTTGATGTTAAAAATATTCAACAATTGAAATATACAAAACTGAATTCATTTTAATGATTTACTTTAACTGAAAAAAAAAAAGGTATTAAAAAGATCTACTCAATTGTGGGATTTATATATTTTGATTATGATAGTAAAAATCGATTGTTAAAATTCAGGTGAAACTAAAAATCATTTTTTTTTTTACATTTGTGACTTATATAGTATCATGTTACCAAAAAGTTTGGAATATTAAGTCTATAATATTTTAAAAATTTTTTACATTGTCAAAAAAATGTTATAGACTATTAGTAACAGACACAAATAAAGTTAAAAAATTTTCTAACAAAAAAAATGCAAAATATTAATTGCCACAGGCGGATTCGAACCTGGTACCGTGAAAGACACAAGTGTTCCCGATTCGTAAACGGTTCGTCGCTTTTCCTGGTTATTAAATTTGGCAATTTATGTTAATTAAAATTTACTATAAGCACAACTTAAGTCAAGACCATAAAAATTGTTACGTTATAAGGGTGTCTTATAAAAATATGTAAACCAAAAATATTCCATCTGTATCTGTTTAAACTAACGAAGGCCATTTGAAACGTAAAAGAGAAAATAGAAAATACATTAAAAAAATAGCGAGTGTTTCATTATATACTGGAACAAAGTGCATAGCACAACGTGGTGATGACGAAATCGTTAAAAGTTTAAACTATGGTAATTTTTTAGAACTCCTGCATAATAAATGAACAGTGTGAAGTTTTAGGACAAAATGTACTTCAAAATGGCAAATTCAAAATGAAATGATTATTTTCAATCAAATAACTTTGGAAAAAATCAGCTTTGAACTACATAGTTGTAATTATTTTGCTCTCATAGTTGATAAAACAAAAGATATAAGCAAGACAGAACAGTTATCGGTAGTATTACGTTATTATATTCAAGATTCAATACATGAAAGATTCGTGGGTTTTAAGCCTGCTAAACAGTTAAATGCGCCTTCATTTCTAAATTATAACAAAGAAACACAACAACAATGTTCAGTAGATGTACAAATATGTGTGGCACAAATTTATGACGGGGCAGTCGTAATAAGTGGTAAATTAAATGGTGTTCAAAAATTATTTCGTAACGGAGTTCCGCATTGTTATAAATTTAGTTATTACAGGTATATGTAAAGATATAAGTGATGTGAAATTATTTTTTGATTTGATAGAAGATTTATATGTGTTTGTATCAGGTTCTGCAGTTAATTCGCTTTTTAATTATTCGCTCGGTGTCGTTAAAGCAGACGTGGCCGGACATTACTTGGGTTAAACGATATGCTATCTCACCGTGAGTCCGGTCCACCCACCTGTTCAGCCAACAGGAAACCCGCCGCCTTTCCAAACACCGTTCGGTACGCTGTAACTGTCCGGATCGCCGCCCACCTTTGCACCCTGAGCAGGGCTTCACGGTTTTACTCAAGAGTATCCGCCCAAACAGGGGACCCGTACTAAAGGACCGAGTGTACGACGCTGACAAAAGTCTGTGCCACATTTCCCTCGGCTCTTCCAGATAGGGCATGAGTCCCGCCAGACAATTCATGACTTTCTGGGCCGCACGAGTAATGTGCGGCCCGAACTTTAGATGTTTGTCTATAACAGGGCCCAGGTAAGTCATGGAGTCCTTAAGCGGGATCTCTACCCTCAGCACAGCGATCCGTGGGGGAGTGAACTTGTACCTGCTCGTGAACAACACCGCTTCGTTTTTGTCCAGGGCGAGGCTCAGTCCACTCCCCTGCTGCTGGATCCAGGCGGTGACTTCGTTGAGCGTGCAGTTCGCACGAGATACAACCTACTCGGACGAGGCGCCTTTTCCGCCAACACCAGCGTGTCGTCCGCGTAGCAGGCTCACCGCCATCTCGAAGTCCTGCTCAGTTTTGGCCCTGAGGGTCAAGTCCCTGAAGAGGGTGGCCGCGTCGTCCGTGGACCTCCCCCTCCTGAAGCCGAACTGGCACCCGGCCAGCCCGCCGAAGTCGGCCAGGTGGGCTTCGATGCGGGTGACGAGCAGGCACTCGAGGATCTTCCACAAGTCGTCCAACATGCAGAGCGGTCGGTACGATGAGGGGAGACCGTCGGGCTTGTCACCCTTCCTCAGAAGCACCAACCTGGCCTTCTTCCACCTCGCGGAGAATTCACCCTCCAAGAGGCAGCGTTCACGACGGCGCGTATCAAATTCGGGGCTAGGTTGTTTAACAACCCCCACACCCGGTTTGAAATCGCATTGTGGCGGAGAACTGTGTTCCGGCCCCGCACGCGCGTCATGTCAGAGAATATTGTCGTAATACAATAAAAGAAAATGAAACAAGTGTAAATGTAATTCTGGTACGAAGATGAATATGAGTATGTGGTGCCTGCTGTCTAGGTTGTCACGTGCGTGTTGTCGTACAGCAGTCACCGTGTTCGGCTAACACTCCGGGTTAGCTGTGGGTTATAGGAAGAGAATAAGGGTAACACCTAGGTATGAGGTGCAAACGAAGTGCAAGACACAAATACCCTGAAATGTTGTGGAAGAGAGTAGATAGATTTAAAAAGGAATAAACAAAGACTTTACTTTAAGCAGTAAGCCGGACAGCGACAACCGAGTACTGAGACTGATGAATGACACAAGGCACTGGAGTCGACTGACGATGATGGTCAGGTCTATTGGGTTTATAATAATTAGAATTATTGCCAATTTGGCAATCAATAATATTTGTTAATTCATCAGTCTCAGGAAGCGGATGTGCTGTCTGTATTTTATTAAAATAATTCTCACAATAATGGTAATGTGACACCATTACAATATAGTATTAATAAAATCGTTAATTTTCACACTTAGAAATATGAGAGCCGATTCAAAGGATTCTTTTAATGAATGTAATGGATCAAATAATTTTATAAACTTTGAACAAATTTATGAAGAAGCTTTGAATATTTTTAAAGCAAATAATATACCATTACCTAGTGAACAAACTCAAACTACTAGAAAAAAGCGTTTTCTTCAAAAGTTTAAATCATTTTTTATGGATGAAAATATATCGTTAGAAAATGAATCAGCTCAGGATAAAAATGATTTTCGCACAAAATTATTTTTGCCAGTTTTAGACAAAATTATTAATGAGTTAGAAAACCGATTTTCAAATAATTCTTGTATTTTAAATGCCATTGATTATTAATACACGAAAAATGCCAAATTTCTGAGCTATGATGATCTTAAACCTTTAGCACAACATTATAAATTGAATACAGAAACACTAAAAGCAGAACTTAAAATATTGCCAAACACAATAAATATTTATCAATAAGAAAATTAAATAAAAATTACTAATTTAATGAATTTTGTTGATTTATTGGAAAAATATATAATTGTTTTTAATAAAACATACAAAATGGCTATAATCTTAATTACAATTCCTGTATCAAGTGCAGGATGTGAAAGGACATTTTCTTGTCTAAGGAAACTTAAGACATACATGCGAAACAAAATGACAGATGAACGCCTATCTAATTTATCAATGATGAGTATTGAAAAAATATTGGCAAAATCTTTCGACTTAGAAGAAGTTATTAATAAATTCACACTGAATCATAATAATTGAAAAATTATTTTGTTATAATTTTTTTAAACTGTTTAATTTAAACTCCAAATTGGTAGATACCTTAAACATACTTATATTAATTATTTAAAGTTTTTAAGGAATAAAAGGTGGAAAATATTTAATTTGTTTATTTATATTTATTGTTTTAATAAATTTTGTACTTTTATTACTACAACATATTGATCTAATAAAATGTTTTTAAATCTTAAATTTGAATAGAAAAAAATTGTATTATGTAAAATGTAGATACTAAGTAATTGATAAATAATTTTTTGGGGAGGGGGTAAGTAAATGGTGGCTCTCTAAGAAAAATGTTGGTCATAATTTGGCCACCCCAATCGTGTAATCCTAGCTACGTGCCTGCAAATGACTAGCGTAATGTCAGAAGTGATCGGTGCTACTTTTCGGACTGAGTGGGTATGAGGGTTGTCTGTAGTTTCACCGACCGTCGGTTTTCAAGATCCAAGTCAAGGAAGAAGGACGCAGCAGTTACCCCTTTTTATATTCCATATTTATTTATTTATTTTTGTTGTAAATTATTTTTTTTAAATAAAGCAATTTAGTTTGTGTTTGGTTATTCACTATAAGTATGTTTTTATTTTATCGCGTAGAATAAATTTGTCTACATTAGACAAATTTATAAATAACACAATAGTATTGATAGTAACATTTAGAACAATTCTAAATACAAAACAACTGCATGAGTCCACCTGCGTGCATCTACTTTAGGCATAAGTCACGTAATCGGAAAGTAATTAAAGGATGGTGTCGTCACCCCGTGGGGTGCCTTAACTATATTTTAATTATTTCTATTTTCGATATCATCATTGTCGGCGAACTGCAGTAATCGATACACGTCTAGGGTGCTCGTGCAAGGCGGTACTCTACTGTTATGTGTCGTTGGTACTCTGCGGATACCACGACATGTTAAGGGCTATTTGTGCAATATTCACAGATTAAGCTACACGACGTAACGACTATAGTATTACTAGTTCAACTAGCTTAAGCCACTCATACTGTTAATTTATAACGAAATTTGATATATTTTACTCATAGTAGAGTATCACACTCTGTTTATAATATTTTATGATTACAGTCCACTTACCCGTATTATCAGATTTTGTTTAATAACAGCATTAAAATTAAAAACTTCTTGTAATATTTACCTTTTATTATATCTTTAAGTAAAATGGTTGATAAATTTGCTATAATACTTGTAGAAGGATTCAAACCAGGTATTGAGTTTATTTCAATCAAATATGGTATAAAATTATCAGTGATCACAAAGTCTGCTCCAAATAATTGAAATGTATTTTTTCTATATGATGACGATATTTGTGATGCTTTAATTACAGTATAAATGCTTTCGCCCATTCCTGGAAATATTAACTCATCCCATACTCTGTTCTGACCAATTTTTCTTTTCCATAATAAAATTAATTTATTATTTTTAATAAAATACTTTTTATAAATTTAAATAATAAATATTTCAATTTGTGTATAGTTGTAATTATTTATTTTTTATGTTATGTTATAATAATAGATTCAAAACCATTAAATTATTTTAAAAGTCACTATAACAATTCTCATGATTTATTTCAGTACATTTATATATTGTAAATGTAAACTATTTATTTTCATAGGTTTACTATTAAAAGTGTGTCATCTTCTTTTTCCTTGCCTTAATCCCAACTACTTGGGGTCGGCCACCCATATCTCTAAATTTCCACTTTACATAATCTCCCTCATCATCTACGCTTACATCAACCGTTCTCATATCGCATTATTAACATCCCTCCATTTCTTTTTTGGTTTTTCTCTACCTCCTCTTCTTCCTTCAACATTAATTTCTATAACTATTCTTATAGCTTCCAATTCCTCTCTCCTTATAAAATGACAAGACAAATAGTCTTGTCTTCAAGTCTATTTTCTCTAGTCTTATCCACGATAAGACTAGAGAACACTACACCTATAATACCTCTTAAATGTTCATTCCTTTCCAATAGCACTAGTAATAAATTACTATTACTAGTGTGTACATACATAAAATAGTCTTTTAACTCTTTGTAATCCCACATACATTCTTCAGGTACTCCTATATCTTTTTTCTTGCGATATTTCATTTGTAATCGAACATTACTTAGATGAATTGATTCATGCATATCTTTTAAAGTGAATTTTTTTGAACAAAATCGTACATAGCCTTCTCTGTAAAATATTTGTAATTAAAGTATACCTTTTTAAAAAGAAAATTCTTTATTTTAATTACTTATACATCCATACAACAATAGGGTTCATATCAGTTACTAAAAACCATTGTCTTAAATCAACTTTGCACGAATTAATTAAAAGGGGTTTCTCTATAGAGAGATAATATATATATATATTATTATATTGAGCATAATGTTTTATTACATTTTTTTCTCACCTATATATTTTTGTACAATAAAACTACTTCCCGAATCTGTATCTAAGAGAATTTTTTCTTTTATTACATCTAAATGTCTAGCCATTACTATTCCTTGACCTGAACAATTGGATATAGGTTTCACAATCCACGTATTTGTGCTACCATCTATATAGTGTTGTGAACGATATTGCTCTACACAATCAAGTAAATACTTACATCTTGCATAAATATCTTGCTGTTAAATTGATAAAATCATAATATTTTAATATTAAAATGCTAATACATTGTTCACATCAAATATTACTTTTAATATTTTTCGTAGATAAATTTTAGTTAAATTTTTTTTTTATAGAATGTACTTTATTAACCTACTTCGACTTGGTAGTTATATTCATAGGAAAAATTTGCATTATTATTAATTAACTTCCAGTAATTGTTCATGAATTTATTCCATATTTCAACCTGATTTTCAAATATCCACATGGTTTTATCGACAAGACCGGTCTTTTGTTCAATTATATATTCATATATTCGCCACTCAACAAAGTTGATCATTTCATATGGCAGCTATTAATAATAAAAATATTTAAATAACTAAAAAGTTATTTGGTAATAAATAACAAAAATTGAACTTACATCGCCTTCTTTTGAAAACAACACTTTTTTGTTTTCAATTGCTTCAACTATCGTCTTAAGTGTACCAATTAGTGCAGTCATGTAATAGTCTTTTAAAAATTTGTCCCAATCAGCCTTTCCCCGGACATAATGACACCTTGGAAACATAATATTTGATAATTTGTCAAGATAAGGCTCTAAACAATGAGCTAATCCTTTCTATAATCCAAAATAATTTAGATACTCTCTAGGTAAGATTTAAAACAAATTAAATTATTGAAAGCTAACAAACTTTTGAACAAAACATATAGCTAGTAATTTGACTAACTACAGTAGATTCGTGAATGTTACTCCAATTAAATAACCGTTTTCTTGTGACAAACACAAAGTCTGATTTATAATTCTTTAGTATGTTCCAAGACTGTGCACTTTTTAAACGATCCCAAATCGCTTCATTAATACTACAATATGATAATAATGGCGGTGACTCAACCCAATTGACGGAATTTACTTTAAATAATAATATACATTTAAATTATATACGTTGAATATTTTTCGAATTAATGTTACTTGTCGATTTTGTATAATGAAAGTAATTTATGGGTGGTTTTGATGGATTGATTTTCTCCACCCAGCCACGTTGTTTTAATTCTTGAACTACTATTGGAAAATACCCCAAAACTGAGAACACTTTTCGAGTCTTAAAAAAATATTTTTTTATAAAAATCATTACAATGTAGTTCATCGAGTAAATAAACAAAATCCAGATAATCAAATATTGATTAATAACTAATAGCTAATAACTAAAAACATTTATATTTCTTTTTACCTACCTCAATAAATTATTTTTGATATTTACCTTGATAGCTTTTAGTGCCTGATAGGTGACACTTGATAAGGTTTCTGTATTTAATGTTATATTTAATGAAACACAATCCAACAACTGTATTTTACATTCTTGCGTTAATGCTTGATGAAGTTTTTTGATATAATTTTTTGAATTTAATTGATATCTATTATTAATTGTCAGACGATTTGTAGATTCTTCAATTTTTTGTTCTTTATTATTTTGATCATAAATATTATTACCATTTTGAATTGTAGGAATTATTACATTCACGTTTTGTTCCAAGATATTCTTATTTTCCTTGTTAATTGGTGTTTTTATTTCTGTGTTAATAGTATTCTTCATTGCTATTTTCAAAAAATCTATTTGTTCTTTAGTTTTATTTTGAGTGTACATCGAGTATTATAATTATTTAAAATATCTATTTTGTTATAAAGTGTATTTATAAAAAAAAAAAAATTAAGGGCCCATGAAGATATTATTTAGGACATTTAATTGGAAACTAATTATAGTTAGCTGGTAAACATAGCAACCGAATCATATTGATATATATATATACATACTTAATAATAATTTTAATGTTAAGCCAAGCTTGAAACAATATAAACAACAGTCGAACATTATTATAATTGTACAACTTAATATGCTTTTTAAATATTCGTAGCACTCGTAGTTTATCTTAGCTATTTATGTATTTTTCATGTCTTTATCCAAAGCTGCTAGAAAAAAAATTCAACTGAAAAATTAATTAAATTTGAGGTGTAAAAGGATTTTGTTAATCATTAAGGAACAGTACAAACATAATTGAAAAAACTAAAAATCATTTTAAATTCTTCCCCAAATTCCCCTAACTATTTTGAATGTCAATTGTCAGGAAAAAGATGTTATTCTGATATTTTTTATACGCATGAACCGGTTTAAGTAGTTTTATAAGTTCCTATTTTAAGCAATTGAAATATAAATTACTTCATATTAAAGTGATGGACATGGAGAGGAGTTAGGAAGCTAGGTGGAAAGCAAGGCTACCCGGATCATCATCTAACGAAAAAATAAATATTTAAAAAAATCATACTAGAATAGGTATTTGGAACGTGTGAACTGTTTTGACACGCAGAAAACTAGAAGAGTTAAAGCAGCAGTTGAAAAAAAATCAATTAGATGTCATAGGAGTACGTAAAACAAGATACGGCGAAAATGACGATTTCTGAAATTATTACTGAAAGAAAAATATGGAATGGCATTTTTATCAAACAATTAGTATAGAGCATATGTGAAAATAGTTATTACATAAATTATAGAATAGTAATAGTAGAATTAAAATCAGGATTACCCCCCAATATAGAATACTTCCCAACATCAAATTGTGACGAAAAATATATAAAACAAATTTATAACAATCTAAAATAATTGATTTGACACATACTTGATAAAGACAACCTAATTGTAATGTGAGATTTTAATATTATAATTGGGAATGAAGTTGATTGTAATTTCGTGGTTGGAATGAGAAGAAAATAGACTAGTTAGTTTCTATAACAAAATATGATCACCTTGAATAGAACTGGCCTGGATTGGTGAGACTGAAGGATTACTATTGAACTATATTAAGTCCAAGAAACAGCAATTACAATAGAAAGCTGCGTATGCACATCTAAAATCTGAAATGGAGTGCGACAAGACTTCTTTGATATCTTACTTATTTCATATATCCAAAGAAGAAGTTGTTCAAAAGCTCAAGATAAAGATAAAGTTGTAAAAATAAATGAAAAGGTAATCCATGATGAAATTTTCACAGAACTGAGACATTGAAAGATATTCAACCATTACTGACTACATTCAATGAAGTATTAAAACGATACCTTTTAAAGATCAATATTTTTATTTTATTTATTAACGCCAGTCGACTTTTTTGAAAAAATACATACAGAATATAGATTTAGTAACAGTGAAATGAGTTAACAAATGTAAAAATAATAATATGTGTGTCTCCGTACAAAGCTAAAGATTATCATTATATTCACGCATAAGCTTAATTAAGGGTTCATTTTTACCAAAATTGGAGTTGCTTAAAGGTAAATAAAATTGACACTGAAACCTAGTTTACAGGGTACAAGAATATAAAGTCGTTCTAGTAAACATGGGGCATCAATATCACCATTTAATAATTTATCGATAAAATATTTACCCAATTTTACTCGTCTATGTTCTAAAGACTCAAGCTTAAAAAAATCATTTATTGGACCGTAATCATGAGTTGGTCCACTATATTAAGGGTATAACCAGCGAAACCTAGAAATCTATTTTGAACCTTATTAATTCGGCGTTTGTCAACTGCTGTGAAAGGTGACCAGATAATGTTCCATATTCTTAAGTCGATCTAACAAGAGAGCTATATAAAGCAACTAAACAATACGAAATTTGAAATTTGAAGAATTACGACGAATAAATCCTAACACTAATATTGGTAACACCAATCCCCTCGGCCCTTTTTTTCCGGATGTTCTCCCTCAACCTTTTCAAAACCTTCAAGTAGAAATGTTGGTTGACCGTTTGGCATGGAGGAACAAATTCTGCGTGCACAACATCTCAGCAATCGAAGAAACTAATGAGCAATGTCTTTATGTTCGATTTCATTTGGCGTGCCTTTTTTGGACGAGGAGAAAGGGGCATCTTCCATTGGCTTGATTGCTGCTTTGTTTCGGGGTCGTACCCATTGCACCATGATTCATCGTCAGTTATAACCTTCAGAAAAAAAAACTGGGTCTTCATTTAACTGATTTTGTAGCTCAAGACAGGCCTGAAGTCGACGCTCCCTTTGATCGTTAGAGAGAAGGCGAGGAATAAATTTGGCAGCGATCTTTCTCATGACCAAATCTTCAGATAAAATCCTCTGAATGGAACTCCATAACAGTCCAGACATCTCACAAAGTTGATCGATAGTTCGGCGATGGTCTTCACGCATAATAGTGTTGATTTTTTCAATGTTTTCGTCCGTTCTTGAAGTTGAGGGGCGCCCAGAACGAGGTTGGTCTTCTATTGACATCTATCCATTCTTGAAACGTGAAAACCAGTCATAGACACACATTTTACTCAAAACATTATCCCCATAAGCTGTTTTCAGCATCGCAAGGGTTTCCGCGGGCGGAAAAACAAAAGTTCACAGGCACATTTTCCTCTCGGCACTTAGCCATCTCACGTTTTCGCCGAAACGGAAAAAGCCGTTACACTAGAAAAATTCTCACGGACGAACGGATATTCTTACAACAACGAGACTTTGCACACTGACTAGCGAGAGTCACCTCTTGAAAGAGAACTACTAAAGAACCCACTCCCTCTCTCCACGGCTCTCCTCCCCACCCAACACATAATTTCCGTTACTTTAGGGTCCCCCTCGTATATGTTGAACCTGTTAATTCATCAAATGTTATAATATCCTCACATGCATCAAAAAATATTCTTAACTTACACGAATGGTCGATTAGCAAAAATGAGATTTATGTATACTTAATTACATGAGATATTCATTCTGGATCTGGTCCTGATGGACCAGATAGAGTTATATCATTTTTCCGTAAAAAAGATCCCATTTTCTTTAACTATAGTTTGTGTAATTTCAGTTTAACTAGGGTTGATTTCATAAGAGATTAAGGAATAATTATTGAGGATAATCTTTCTTTACTAGACATATAAATTTGTCAGTCAGTAATGCTTTTAAGAATTTGGGTTTTCTTAATAGAAATACTAAATATTTTAAAAACACAATTACTTTAAAATTGTTAAATTTTTCTCTTGTCAGATCAAAGCTTGAGTTTGGTTCTTTAGTTTGGTCTCCTAATTATGCGGTTTACATTAATTTATTAGAAAACGTCCAATACAATTTTACGAAATCTATCTGTTTTAAATTGATTATTAGTCTTTCTAGGGATTCATATTATTTACATTCGGTTAGGTATTACATCTTGTGAACTTAGATGACGAGTTAGTGATCTTATGTTTTTATATGACTTATTAATGGTTATGTAGATTGCCCAGAATTATTTTCAATAGTTGGCTTTAGAGCTAGTCAAATAAACCTCGAAGTTATTAAACTATTTTATGTTCCTTTCTTAACCACTAATTATAGCTCAGCATCATATTTTCCTCTAGTCCTTTTGTTAGCTAATAAAGTTTTAAACTTTTGTTAATTTTTTCTCTATGTCTCGTGATGTCTTCAAGTCGAATACTTATAATGCATTATCTAATTGTGTATTGTAATTTGTTTATTTCTAATTGTTTATTGTAAATCTGAGTAGTATTTAGTTAAATGTGTATTTTTTCATTTAATTTATGTTAACTAAGAAATTATTGCATTTATTCTATTGGATTATGTTAAAGGGCTTTTTTACCCGTTTATAATTTAAAAATAAATAAATATACAATTTATAATTTTTAAATGTATCGAGAACGATTGTGGCCATGTCTTCATTTTTATGGCCATAATTTCATACGAATCTTATAAATCGTTCAACGGGGACATTCTTTTTTAGATACATATCGCACTATGAACGAAAACCGATCTACGTGGGAGATATCAGGAGTCGACTCTACAGAAATAAAAAAATATTTGGCTTGTTTTATCTTTGTCACAATCGTACTAATGACCTTTTCTGCCATGATGTCAATAATTTCACCACATATCTTAGACAAAAGGTATAATATTATGCCGCATCCCTTATTTCCATGACACTTGATATGTGTGTGCGTTTAGAAAAGGATTAAACTCAGATAAAAGTTCTAGAGATATAATATAATGCCCATTATTTCTCAATCCAATTTTTTCCTGCGAATCTCTAAATGGCAATTCGTGTACAGCCAGTGATCTTACAACAGCCACAACACGTCTCAAAGTCTCATGCCAGTATTTAATTTCTTCTTCTATTTGAATGACAATTCCCTTGTCAACCCTACCACTTGCGTTCTTTCTGGTCAACAGTGTTACACATATAGATCTGGTCGTCTGAGTTTTCTTGTTCTTTCATTCTCTGACCTGCATTTTTTCAGTCGTTATACCCTTTATCATTAGCTTGAGTCCCCGACTTTTTAAAAATTTTGCAAGGGTGACAGAATACAGTTTCTTTAGACTTATCAACCAAAGCCGAGCTTGTATTTCGCCATTAGGTAATGTCTGACTGAAAAGTGATAGGGATAGATACCTGATAGTATCTGCATACTGTCGTTTTGAAGAAGAAAAATCAATGTCCATTTTGAACGAGGTATTCAATTATAGCATCATCCAGTACCCACTTAGCAGAATCATCACAATAGATTACTCGTTTATAGTTGTAATGTATCCAGTTCATCTTAGC